AATCCCAGGCAGACGTTAAAGCAGAAGGCTGGGCAACCAGCCAGAGGAACGAGCAAAGGTGGTATGGCTGACTTTGTGGTCAAAGGCGGAGGGGGTTCACAGGACAGCGTTGTAGTGTCTCCCATGGTTGAATGTTTTACAATCTGAGAATCAGAGATTCTTCCACAAAGCCTCAATTTGTAGGGTTGTAACCGACTGCGATGGACATGCTGTGATCGGCCATCATGGCAGACGGTGCTTGACAAACAGATTGTGACAGGTGCTCCTGTTTTGGTTAGTAATAGAATTGAAATCAGCTCAGCTGTTAACTGTTATAAACTGTTCTAATTACAATGAAGTCGCTGATGGTGTAGTGGTACACTCGCCGGACTTGGGTGCGGCCAGCGTGAGATCGCTTCCCACTCAGTGACGGTGTGCATGTGGGTGTGACTGGTTGTTTGTCTCTATATGTGCCCTACAACAGACTGTTGTAGTCCACCTTCCGCCCGAAGTCAGCTGGGATAGGCTTCCCACAGCCAGCAACTCCCCACGACCCTCTTCAGGATAAGCGGCGTTGAAAATGGATAGATGGTTAATTACAACGACTACTCACATTTGACTAGCTGGGGTATGGCGTCAATGAAAGGGATGGCCACTATTTAGACTTGGGTGTCGTTGGTCGGGAGTACAGCTGGGCTCCCCGACCTTCCCCAATCACTGCTCCCCACCATCCACCATCACCCGCCCCTCAACCCCTGAGGGTCAAAGCCTCGGGATAGCAGACTCTGATAGCACACAGTAACAATATCTGCCGTCTCAAAACAATGGGCGTGTTTAAAGGTAGAAAGGTGGCCTCTGTTTGGAACGCTGGCTGGAGTTTGGGGGTGGGGGTGGGGTGAGCTGGGCCCCGAGAGGCCCCTCAGGTAATGCCTTGGGACACCTGATACACATAACCCTCACATACTCCGACCCCCCCCACCCCCCCACCCCTCCCAGGCCCCCTTTTTGTCTTCATCTCTTTCCTCTCTCTTGAGATAAAAAACATTCTGCATGCATGACAGAGAGCGGGAGATTCTTGAGAACTAAGCAAAGTGGCTGCTTCCATGTTTCACGCTGAAGGGCATCAAGTTCACCAACAATGCACCTCTGAAGGGCTGGAATCACTTTGGAAATACTTGATCAACATTTCTGTATTGCTGCGAGCTTGAATGAGTAGTTTGAATCCATCTCAAATGTGTCAAGCTCAAGTTTGTCTGAGCTTTAGGCTGCCTTGTGACCTGCTGTCTAGGGTTCATTCTAGATGTGAGGCATCAAGAGGATTGGAGAGGAGTGTGTGAGATCACATTGTTTTGTCTCACTTCAATTTCCTATCAGCCCACGAGCCTTGACAATGGTCTGAAACCCCAGTGCAGCACCCTCCCGTCCCCACCTCCCCCCCTCCCCAAAAAGGGAGCCCCCATCGAAGCGATTGCGAAGGAGCTGGGATTTAGCTAATGATCTGTCAGGCTGAGCAGAACTGTTTTGTGTACACACAACGCTGAAGACACATGACCGGACCGTCCTATTAGACACTTACTTCGGCGCATCACAAGCTCGTCAAGGTCTGGTTCCTCGTTGGGATGGGAGAGCCCCTTTAACTTTTGACCCCAGTCTCCTTACTCAGGGGCAAAATGGTGCACCAGTAGTGTGGGCAAATGCCGCACAGCACACACACAAAAAAATCCTTTGTTGAATCTTGTATCATCGTCCAACACATATTTATTTGTGGTTTGACATTTGCTAATTTGCATGACCATTTTTGGGGAAGGGAACTTAACTCCTGTTATTGACTGAAACTCTTCTCTGTTCGCTATATCTATGCGCTGATGCCAAAAGAATAAAGTGTCTTCTTTGGTGCTATCTTGTGGAATTTTCTGTGTTGTTGTTGTTGTTAGGTTTGTTTCGTCTGCATTTGAAATGACCTCTTTTGTCGGTGGTCCTTGACTGCACCTCAAAAGTAAAAGTACAAGCCCAAACAATACGCTGCTGTTACTACAAACCTGTTTAGGGTGGGCATCAATTGCAGATTATTTTAAATGACCTGTGGCCGTGGTTCGGCCCTATTTCCCACAAATAGCGTGGGTTCACTGTATCTCGTTGCCCTACTTAAGTGTTTCATTTTTTTGACTTTTTACTTTTACTCCCTCCATTTGAAAACTGTCCAGCTAATGTTGTAAGTAAAATGATAGTATCATTCTTTTTCCTGTTAGGCCAGAATGATAACGGGGTGTTATCAGAAGCATCATTTAAAGAACGGCTCAAAATTTTTGCTAAACTTGATGCGCACCTCATTGCTTATCATCTCTGATACCTTTATGAGTACAAGTGCATTTTTAAAAATAAAATTAAGCAATGTCACATGTATATACTACAATGTGTAAAAAGTAAGTGAAGTGGAGTTTAAAAGCAAATAAAAAGGGCTATTATGGAGAAAATACTCTTGGTCGCGCTCACATTCCCCAAACTTCCGTGTTAGGTTCATTGAAGTCTCTAAATTGTCCGCAGGTGTGAATGTGGGTGTTAACGGTTGTTTGTCTATGTGGGCGCTGCAACTGACTAGTGAACAATGCACAGTCCACCACGCCTTTCGCCTAAAGTCAGCTCGATTCGACTCCAGTTCCCCGTAACCCTGAACAGGTTACGCGGTATAGACAATGAACAGATGATGGAGAAATACAGGAACACTCCAAGAACTGAGGCAGACCGAGCAGAACTACTAAGCGGTGCAGTTCCTCAGGCATAAACCGGCTCGCACGTAACATTGTGGAACGACCACATGAAAGTCTACAGGAATGCTCTTGGTTGCGAAAGAAGTTGTCTCCGCTGAACATAAGACAATCTTCAATACTGTGCAAGTATTGCAAAAAGGCTCCAGACTTTAATTCATCTCAGAAGCTGTTTAGGTGCCTGTAGGTGATGACACGAGGCTGGCGTCGGTCCCAAGCGCGGCTCACCAAACCACAGCAATACTGGTAGTTGGAAATGAATTTATGACTTTGAAGTCAACTGTGAAAATTCACTTCAAAGCCACGATATGAAGCAGATAATTTAACTATTAAGAGTGTGAGACTTAGGGTAGCTGGGCAATTTGTCTTCGGGCCAAAGTCATGTAATGCTCCGTAATCCACAGTTAGCAGGTCATTGATGCTCACACCTAATTGTGGTCTTCCTCCGAAACATAGAGAGCAGAACGGGAACTCACAGAATCCCAGGCAGACGTTAAAGCAGAAGGCTGGGCAACCAGCCAGAGGAACGAGCAAAGGTGGTATGGCTGACTTTGTGGTCAAAGGCGGAGGGGGTTCACAGGACAGCGTTGTAGTGTCTCCCATGGTTGAATGTTTTACAATCTGAGAATCAGAGATTCTTCCACAAAGCCTCAATTTGTAGGGTTGTAACCGACTGCGATGGACATGCTGTGATCGGCCATCATGGCAGACGGTGCTTGACAAACAGATTGTGACAGGTGCTCCTGTTTTGGTTAGTAATAGAATTGAAATCAGCTCAGCTGTTAACTGTTATAAACTGTTCTAATTACAATGAAGTCGCTGATGGTGTAGTGGTACACTCGCCGGACTTGGGTGCGGCCAGCGTGAGATCGCTTCCCACTCAGTGACGGTGTGCATGTGGGTGTGACTGGTTGTTTGTCTCTATATGTGCCCTACAACAGACTGTTGTAGTCCACCTTCCGCCCGAAGTCAGCTGGGATAGGCTTCCCACAGCCAGCAACTCCCCACGACCCTCTTCAGGATAAGCGGCGTTGAAAATGGATAGATGGTTAATTACAACGACTACTCACATTTGACTAGCTGGGGTATGGCGTCAATGAAAGGGATGGCCACTATTTAGACTTGGGTGTCGTTGGTCGGGAGTACAGCTGGGCTCCCCGACCTTCCCCAATCACTGCTCCCCACCATCCACCATCACCCGCCCCTCAACCCCTGAGGGTCAAAGCCTCGGGATAGCAGACTCTGATAGCACACAGTAACAATATCTGCCGTCTCAAAACAATGGGCGTGTTTAAAGGTAGAAAGGTGGCCTCTGTTTGGAACGCTGGCTGGAGTTTGGGGGTGGGGGTGGGGTGAGCTGGGCCCCGAGAGGCCCCTCAGGTAATGCCTTGGGACACCTGATACACATAACCCTCACATACTCCGACCCCCCCCACCCCCCCACCCCTCCCAGGCCCCCTTTTTGTCTTCATCTCTTTCCTCTCTCTTGAGATAAAAAACATTCTGCATGCATGACAGAGAGCGGGAGATTCTTGAGAACTAAGCAAAGTGGCTGCTTCCATGTTTCACGCTGAAGGTCATCAAGTTCACCAACAATGCACCTCTGAAGGTCTGGAATCACTTTGGAAATACTTGATCAACATTTCTGTATTGCTGCGAGCTTGAATGAGTAGTTTGAATCCATCTCAAATGTGTCAAGCTCAAGTTTGTCTGAGCTTTAGGCTGCCTTGTGACCTGCTGTCTAGGGTTCATTCTAGATGTGAGGCATCAAGAGGATTGGAGAGGAGTGTGTGAGACATCATTGTTTTGTCTCACTTCAATTTCCTATCAGCCCACGAGCCTTGACAATGGTCTGAAACCCAGATGATTACATATGTATTTGCCAGCAAACACTCTCGATAGGACATTCAGAGAAGAAAAGATCACAGAGTGCACTTTTGACCTATAATCTTGAGCTTCGGGAGTTCATCTGAAACAATTGGCAGAATATCCACTTCTGTCAAACAAAAATAAAACTGCCTAATCTGCTTTGCCAAGAACTGGGCACAAGACGATCAGACAGAAGCAGAGAAGGGACCGACCTCATAAATAAAGTAAGGTTACGTTCAAACCAAAACTTTTAACACTGCAAACTTCCCCTTGAATCGATAAAATCTTACATAATGACTCATCCTTGACTTATATTGTTGCAAAGCATTGTGCGTTATTTTGAGTCTTCAGGCAAGGAATGCAAAGAAATGGGGGGTTTTGACTCACCGACCCATAGAGCTCTCCTTTCTCATTCATGCCGAGGTACAGTCCGGCGTCCACGCCCCTGATGCTGACCAGACCGACTGCCAGACTGATGAACTCCAGGATACCTTGGGATCAAACATGCAAGCTGGTCAGGAAGCACTCTACTGTATACGCCCAGAAAGAGAAGCCTGTGCACTTGGACGATGAAGTTATTCTTTTTCTACTGCTCTCACCTTGGATAGCTGTGATACACTTATAAAGGCAGGAACATGTTTGTGTTTAATTTCCTTTTCCTGCCCTACTGGGCCATCTACTAGTGGACTGGACTGGTTTCTTTCTTTCTTTTATTTTTTTAAATCAGCTGCTTTGTTTCATGGGGCACTTCAGTTCTTAGGAGCAAGTGGAGAAATGATATATCACATATCATTACAAAACATACTGTGACATTATATTAGATTACATTACATATGTAAATATTAAAGGTTCAGCGACTAATCGATTAATCGTTTAGTTAATTCACTGACTTATCGTTCAGCAACAGTGACTTAAAATTGCCCAACGCCTCTGATTTCAGGCTCTCAACAGAGACTGAATTTAAATGAAGTGGGGTACACCCTGAATTGGTCGCCAGCCAATCGCAAGGCACACATAGACGAACAACTATTCGCTCTCACAGTCACAAGTAGGGACAATATAAAGTGGTCAATTAACCTACAGTGGTTGTTTTAAAGTGGTCTATAAATACAGTTGAGTAGAGTACATGTTTTTGGAATGTGGGAGGAACCCGGACGATCCGAAGAAAACGAACGCAGGCACAAGGAAAACAGGCAAACTAACACATGTCGGCCTCGCAGTGCAGAGGTGCAGGGTTTGATTCTGGCTCCTGCCTTCCTGTGTGGAGTTTGCATGTTCTCCCCGTGCCTGCGTGCGTTTTCTCTGGGTACTCCGGTTTCCTCCCACATTCCAAAAACATGCATAGCAGGTTAATGGGACACTCTAAATTGTCCCTTGGTGTGAGTGTGAGCGTGGATGGTAGTTGTTTGTCTATGTGCGCCCTGCGATTGGCTGACAATCGGTTCAGGGTATACCTCGCCCACTGCCCGAAGACAGCTGGGATAGGCTCCAGCACCCCCCGCGACCCTTGTGAGGATAAAGCCGATCAAAAAATGGATGGATGAATGGCTGAAAAACACCACTGTGAAGCGGCATCACTGTGCATCCAACAAGAAGGGTTGGCATTTGGCGGAGCGATTACAGAGTGGCAGCAGCAAGAGACTACCCAGAAAAGCATCCAAATTACTCTGAGGGCTTTACGTGGCCTTTTATTCGTGAGACAAAACTGAGCATTAGTTTTAACTGCCAAAAGCGTGCTGTCAGTACGAATCGTAAAGCGCTGGATGTTACTTGTACTAATAGCATGCAAATGTCAACTAGTGCACAGTTTTGCCTCACTCACGACATCCTACTAGTGTATAGAATTGTCATGCAGTCAAAAAATAACTTAAGATGCATCCTTTCTACAACTGCGCTGAATTGTCTTACTAGTATGGGAGTGTGGGACAAATAAAGGATATCTAATCTAATCTAATCTAATCTAATCTAATCTAATCTAATCTAGTAAGGTCATGGCCATGTCTACTAGTAGGCTAAATGGATCTTTTGCTGAATATCGTGAATATGGAATACAGTAAAAACTCAAAGGGCTTTCCATAACTGTCTGTTTATTGGTTGACTGTCTCGAAATGGAAGTTTCTATTGGAGCATCACTTTAATTTGAACTCCTATTAACACTGAACTAATTGTTCCCATCCTGTATGATCATCACTTTTAATGGTTAAAGCTAAACTGGATATTTGTCGCAAATATCTGTAATTCACTTTTGCCAATTCTCAAAGAACATTTGAGATATCCACAGAATGTGAGTTTTGTAATGTATGGCGTTTGTAATTACAGGTATGTACAATTCAGTTGCAGAGACGCCGCCACTGTATTGTAAATATTACTAATACAAGATTGGGCTCTGCAATGTATAAAGCGACCCACAAGTTATATTTGAGGCATTTGAATAAATTTGCACTTGCTGTACAGCCAAGACTATAGTCCTGATTTTGTTGACTGTTTTACAAAGTGATTTTTGTCTTATGCTTGAAAAGTGACACGAGAAATGTTTTGCGAGCGGTTGGTGCCCCAACCTTTTCCTCACCTAACTAGCAGTGACATTTATGAGGAAGCTGAGCCTTGTGTGCCTCCGATGCTGACTCACAGGAAGTTCCAGTGCAAGCGTACACGTGAACTTCAAAGGGTCTGAAACAAGCAGTCAAATTAAAAGCCTGGATGCTGGGATGCAGAGGTTAGCAGTCAGAGAGGATCCAGCTGGCAGAGGCCAGTGTTCGGCCACCTGGGCCCCATCTTCCCCCGAGCTCCCGGGGTGCCAAACACTGACAGTGTGCCTTTTTAATCAGAGCCATGTCTGACAAAAGGCCTCGCATCTGAACCTTAAGTCGAGCCAGAGACAAACAGGAGGACCACCCATCCTTTCTATGCGCACCGTCCTGTTTTTTTGGAAGCCTCCACTGGAACTCTACCAGTAATTCAGCTTCAGCCTGCACCTGCATGCAACACGTCCGCACCCTTACGGCACTTATTAGTGGCCAAGGAGAGGAGAGGAGAGACACCTGCGCCCAAAGGGGTCCTGAAGGGGGCCGTGCTTTTCCCTGCCCGCCAGGTGACTGTGACGCACGGCCGCGTATCCACTGGGGATGTAAAGAGCTCAGGAGTGACACCGTTGGAGATTTACTTAATTGTTGCCTCACCGACATACAATATGTAGTCTACATTTGCATGTGAAAGCAAGTTGGTATACTGTAGGTAATTTATGGAAAACATTAAGATCATTCATAACTTTAATGCTTCCAGAATGTAATGTCATTTCCATTTAAACAGTGGTGGGATGCAATGAAGCACAACACATTTGTTACTGCAAGTAAAATTCAAAGTTCCATACATTGGAGAGTAGATAAATACTTTGTTTGCTTTGTCAAAAATAACCTTGTTACTTTTTTAACTTCCACAGATAATGACACCATGAAAAAAGACTGCAATTGACTTTTTAAATGAATGATTGAGAACTCAAGAGATTCTCCTTCCATAGACTTTTGACAATTATGTAGTTGTTCACAATGTCTCACTTTCCATTATGTAATATTCCTTGCAGGGCACTTTGTGACTATGAAGAAAAAAGTGCTGTAGGCTATATATCAATTTGATTTACGTTTGTTTACACTTATTATACATAATTTTCTACTTGACATACAATATAGCCCTGGCCTTTACACACACACACACACACACACACACACACACACACACACACACACACATATAGAGAGAGAGAGAGAGAGAGAGAGAGAGAGAGAGAGAGAGAGATGTGTGTGCATCTGTGTATTTCAGTATATATATATATACAGCATATCAAATGTAATTTGTATTTGTAATTTTAAGTGTTCTCTTTACCTTTTTTAATATGTATTTATGAATACATGTTATTTGCCATCTCATAGCTGATTTATTTTTTTTTACACAATACTTTTAGTTTTTTTGAATAAAACCCATTTTGCCTTTCTAATATTTCCTATGGGAAAATGTGTTTGATATGTTTGATCCTAGCAATTCTAATCTACCTTGTTGGTTTTTTTTTTTAGTGTAATCATATCATCCTAACTAGACCGATTGATTGCTTTGTCCGTGAAACCAGGATAATCCGGCGATGAAGTCTCTGAAGGACAAATTATCTTCCGCCCAGTTCAAAGTCACCGAGCATCGCAATCAGATTCAGTTTCTGAAGCAAGAATTGAAATTGGCTCAGAAGGTACAAAACATCTCACCTATTGTGATCGCCAAACATCCTAATGTGGCATTAATCACTTTGTTCCAGGTTCTCGTGAGTGAGGTTGGGGAAGACGCCAACATTCAGCAGTTACTAAGCTGTGCGGGAAGCTTTCGAGGACGTGCGCAGCAGATACTGGCTCTTCAATCAAGGGTAAAGCGTGTAACATACAACATGATTTTAAACACCTTAAATGATGCGCAAATGGTTGTTTGTCGATTTGTGCCCTGCGACTGGCTGGCAACCAGTTCAGGGTGTATCCTGGCTACTGCTCGAAGACAGCCGGGATAGGCTCCAGCACACCCCGCGACCTTCGTGAGGATAAGCGGATTAGAAAATGGGTGGATGAATGGATTGATTATAAAATATGAGAAAACCCACACTTGATTTGCATGTCCTTACAACACAACACACTGCAGTCATAACATTTTATGTCGTTGTATTAAGACTGACCTGTGAGAGGCAGCATGGCGCCACAGGGCATCAAGACCGCTGAAAAATACACAGAAGAAAAAAATGGAAGAAGCTAGGCTAACTGTTAGCTTGTCCAGTACATCGGGCTGCATTCCAGAAAAGTGGGAAGGTGGAAAATTCACACCATAGACCATAGGATAATCCCTCAGGATAATTTTTATACACAACTGATAATCAGACCATTGATCTTAAGAGAGTAAATACTGCATGCTCCTATTTGTCCCGATTTTCTGTTGGTCTGGACTCCGCTAACAAAGTCCTCCACTGATGTCTGTGACTTAGCCAAACTCCGCGTTGACCATACACATCAGAATTTGCCATTGAACAAATACAATATTTACCATTGTCAGACCCATGTCCCAACAGAGGGAAAATGCTCAAGTTACACAGTACCTCTCTTTAGCATTAGCAATGACACAAATGATTCCAAGACTACAGACAGAAAGTGTGAAGTCAGGTGAGGCAAAGGCGATCTGAATCGTGTCGTGTGTGTGTGTGTGTGTGTGTGTGTGTGTGTGTGTGTGTGTGTGTGTGTGTGTGTGTGTGTGTGTGTGTGTGTGTGTGAGAGGGGGGCGTCC